TCATCCGATATATATCGTTATATCGAACAGCCCTAGTAGAGTAGTTTGATGAGTATGGTTCTGGAGTAGTTTGCAGCTTACATCTAACCTGCTGTTGCTTAAAGCGTAAAAGCCTGTCGAAGAAAGCCCGACATCTGCTTGTTCTGACCTACAAATGACACAGCATTACTACACTCCGTCTCATTTCCTTAAGCTCGTCTTATTTCCCTATTTTTATAGTCTTACAAATCTTCAGTTATCTTTTTTTTTTCTACAACATTAAACCGTTTTCCTGACTCATGCCGCATTACGCCACGGTGCATTTAACCTACTCTAAAGACGCATCTGCATCCACCGTTAACTTCAGCCTCTACATCAGGGTGTCAAACAGATTTATTCTAATAGTGTATTTTCTAAGTAGTTTTTATTGCGTGGAAATTATTAGTTTTAGTTTTGTTTGAATGAGTTTCTGTGCTCAGCACAACAAAAACGCAGAACCTTTTCAAATCTTGTTGACAGTCTCAACCACGTCTATCAAACCTCATCAGGCAAATTATATTACAGTTTTTTAACAAAACTAACAAATAATAAAAATTTTGTTTTCCCGGTTTCACAAAACCATTTCGTTTAGCTTTTATTTTTTCTAAAATTCTGCTTTTTATTTTTATTAAGTTAGCTAAACTGTTTTTTCCACATCTATTTGTAGTTTTTTGTTTAGTTTTAGCTAATTATATTAACCTTGTGTCAAACATAGGGCCTGGTGACCAGAACCGGGTCATTAAAGAGTCTGATCTGAACTGGTGAATGCTTTTTCAAACTACACAAAGATAAATACTAGAAACCATCAAAAACACACAGATTTAGGTGGGTTTTCAACATAAATTAATCAGTGGACAATTTCATATTTTATTCAACAGGAAAAATAGAACATTTTCTTCGAATTAAGAGAAAATTGCAGTTTTTTTATATTAGGAAAGTTTACAGATTAATTTCTTAGGCTGAACGGTACCCAGCCATGCTGATTTACTAGAATGACATATCTGTGTAATGACCTTAGGTTGGCCAAATATTGAAACATTAGTCATCCTTAATTAGTTTGTTTTTTCTTTCAGTTTTTGAAATCCAGAAATGTGGACATTTTCAGAACGTACTTAGACTTCTTAACCCTAAAAAAATGTTTTCTTCATAGATTATCATCAGTCTGGCTCATTTAAGGTCAAATTTATCTGCATGTGACCACGTATGTGCTAAAATGAGCTTCACAGCTGTGCTCTACACATATGAATCTATGGGGAAGTTCTTTTTTTGGTGATGTGGAGGCGACAACAACAACAATAAAGCACAAAGCCAGACAGCCAGTGGGCTGCAGAGGAAATCTGAACAGTCATATCTGACCTTCAGCCTCACTCATAACCAGATTCCTTGTTAAATTCGGCGTCGTGCTCAGACCTTATCGTCGAGGTCGTCGTCGCTCTCGTCCATCTCCTCCAGTCGGAGGCTCCACTCGTACTCCACGTGGATGTGCGGGTTGAACTTCCCCTCTGCGGCCTGCACGAGCTGACACACAGAAACAAATCCGTTAACTCAAACCGCAGCTCTACGCAAACAGATCATTACGGCTACGAGACAGAGAAGGTGGATCAAAACTGGCTGCTAATTAAAGCCCCAAAAAAAACTATGAATGGGAAGAAGAAGCAGCGCAATAAGAAATAATGAGGCAGCATAAAGAGACTAATGTCACAGGTTAGACTGAGTCAGAGCCACAGTGAGTGCTAAGCATCAGTCATCATTCTTTTCTAGACGGCAGAAATTATCCAGTTTGTGAACGCAACACAAACAACAACAGCAGTTTTTAAAAAGTGTATTATTATTATTATTATTTCTTTTTCTTCTCAAACAGTAAGATTTTAAAGATTTTAATTTTTTTATTTACTTTTCTCACTGTCTTCCCAACACGTGTACCTTCAATAATCATCCACAGCTTTGCCCACCTAGTCAATAACATCCATTATCCTAACAGTCACTGATTTGGCTTTATTATTTACTTCTCATGTCTCGTTTCCCCTCCGTTCATTACACAGTCGAGAAAAAAAACAAACTGGCACATCGTTAAACTAAAAACAAACCCTGAGACTTGGGAGATTTAACTGCTCTCTGCAGCCACTGATGATGCACAGGACACAAACATGAACATCTGGAGGTTGTATAGAGATGGAGATATTACAGATATACGGTATTAACTCAGGGGGAGAAGGTATGTTAAAAAAGGAGGGGGCAGGAAAAATATTGAAGTGAATTTATTTGTAAAAGGGGTAAATGTGAGGAATAGATATGATGAGGGATTTTGAAAATTGTTTAAATGTAAAATAAGGCACAGAAATATGAAACTGCAACACAACTGCTAAACAAATTTATCAAACTGAGGAAAAAAACGTAGCTAAAGTAACACTTCAACATTATTTTTTTTAGATAATAGTTTCTATTTTTTTAATTTTTATTTATTTTTCAGTCTTTCATTTATTTTTACAAATAACTGGAATAAAAATTATCTTCTTTGTTGAGGCACCAGACCTGAAATAACACAGAAAATCTCTGTTTGCTTGTAAATTCCTGCTACATGATTGGGAGCAACTAAAACTGGCACACAGATATATCTTAGGCCCCTGCAGGTTCTCATGATGTCATCATTTTGCCTAGCAACCACCTAGCAACAGGCAAAAATGACCCATTTGTAATGTTTAAGTACCTGCAACACCTCATAAAAGCATCGCATCAGATTAATTTCACAACAAAACATTTTATTTAGAGAAAAAATATAATTTTTCATATCTGCAAACTGTGACATCTACACTATCAATACTCAGCCTATGAAGTGAAGTTCACTGTATTTACAAGTTTAATGTCAAATCAACAGCTGACTATAAATGTGCTGTGAAGGTGTGGAGATGAGTGTTCAAATCAGCTTTTTTCCAGGATGTTACAGACTTGTGAAAATGTGCAAGCACATTTGTAAAGAAAGCTAACGTACGAAATCTCTTTCTACTGCATGGGTGCATATTCAGACAAAGTGTTGCATGCCAGTTTGTCATTATATACTTCATATGGCGGTGGGCAGTGTCTGGATGATAAGTGGTCGTGGTCCCTTAATCATACACAGAGGTAAATACACTTTGTTGTGTATGATCACACAGCGAGTCCAATATTTATGTTTATTCATATAAACAACATAACTCCATACTTCTTTTTTTTTTTTACTTTTCTCAATGTGATTAAAAATATCAGCTTACCAAATCCACAAATAGACCAAATAACACTGCAGCATGGGCACACACTAGTAAAATACACACATGCTGCACACTATCTGGCTCTAAATTAATGATTTGATGTCAGTACAGAGGATGATTTCACCTTTTATACTGTCTACCTGTCGGGAAAGGTGCGGGTGAAATAGACTGAAGTCCCCTTGGCTTACCACTAATTACATCTGAGGACAAAAGGACTTATGTGTGACACAAAGTGCAATAACTTAGATAGTCTATATGTGCTCGAGCTAATAGCCAATAATCTTAATCACAGATATAATTTAAGCACAAATCTAGTTAATATGTAAAATAAAATGTTGTTATAGGCACATTTTCCTGTAACAATAAAAGATTTGTCCAACTGTGTTTATTTTTCAGAGATTCCAAACAGCATTTAAAGTGTTTTTCTGTCTTCTTTGCTCATATGACTGTTAATAACAAACATATATCAACCATTACTTCCACTCTGCTGCTGCTACCGCCCGCGGCTGGAGAGACCTCTGACTGCCATCTAGTGTTCTCACTAAACTGCCCGGTAACTGATGAACACCCTTTATGTGGCTGTGTGTATGTTTGGGGGGAGGACGGGGGGTTTGTGTAATGTTTCTGGGCCTTTAATGATCTACTAAGATGTCCAGCTGGTCGGTCCTATACTTACTGCCTCCTCACACTGAGTGTTCCTCAGTCGCCTGGCAACATCCAGCGCCGTCTCTCCGTTCTGATTGGCTGAAAGGGCGAGGATGGACAATCAACAGTTAGGAGTCTAATAGGTGATGACATTAACTGGAGGACGAAGCTCGGCGTGTGACTCACTGATGTCGGTGGCAGGCTTGCCCCTCAGGAGTAACTTGAGGCACTCTGGCTTTTCGTACATGCAGCAGTAATGCAGGGCGGTGTTCCCCCACTCCGTCTGCTTATCCAGGTTACCGCTGAGTTAGGAAAAAAACAAAAAAAACAAGACTCGCGCAGTGAGGTCACATGCCTGAGGGTGTTTTCCACAGTCCTGCAGCTTTAGGTTAATATGTTATTGCTCAGGATTTCGAGGTTTAGCATGAAAGAAGAGGATTGGAAACAGCACATTAGACGTCTTGAGAAGAGGTGAGACATTAAATCATTCAAGAAAAACTACAAACTACAGCTAATGGCGCAGTAGCAATCTTTAGATCTCCTGCAATTCCCATGAAGGCAACAAAAAAAATATTAAAAGACAAGGCCTAGACATGGGTTTAATTAATGAGGGGGTCTCAGTTCAGCAGTGGAGACTATGTGCAGTTGGAGCAGTGGTGGGTAAACAATTGAAAGGAGAGGAATAAATTAAGGCAGAGAACAAGTGCTTGACCCATTTCTGTTTGCCTTGTGGGAATCTGAGCTGTGCTGTGCCGCGTGAAGCTTTTCCTCTGCACTGCTTTATTAGACCAGAGCACAGAAAGTGACTCGCAGCAGACAGACGGATCAAATTTAATACAGAGTGTTTACACCAAGCTGTGCTGTTTTATACACAATTTTACTCCAAAGTACTCGCGTGTGTTTTTATGAAAGTTGAACAGCTCTTTGCACACCTCCTGAGCCAAGCTGAATGCACGCAGCTGCATTTTCTAAAAGGTTTAGCAGCTCTTTAAAAAAACAAAATGTACCTGTTCTGCACGAGGAAGTCCACCAAGTGCAGGGAGGTCTGGTCAGCAGTCCGTACAGAGTAATGCAGTGCAGTCTCTCCAGCTTCCTGCAGGGGGCCATCAAACACAGCAAAGACTCAGTGGGGCGATCTTGGGCAGCATCCATTCTGTATTCTCTCTCTGTCTGCGACTCTTTCAGCATTTAAACAAGCTGCAGTAAACAAAATGGCTCCTAAAAATAATACTTCTGCAGGCCTGATGCCGGCTTTTGTCTATTTCTGGGAGTCTCTTGCTTTTATTTCATCTGCCTTGCAGCATCAAAGCTGGATCTAGGTGGTGGTGTTTTAGATTCAGCATTAAAGATGGAGGTAAAGGCGAAACATATGGAGCTAACGCTTACATTTAGTGGATCTGTTGGCATCTGAGAGGGGGTCAGATTTAATCACGCACTGCTGTCACGCTGTCTGTGTTTTGAGTTGGGGGTGGGAAGTCACGGTGCAGCCCCTTCGGATGCACTGACAGCAGCAGATCAGATATCGGTGAGTCAGACTTCACAGCGCGTTCAGCAGCACCACCCCCCACTCTCCGTCACCAGACGATATCCTCTTTTATTCCTCTGCAGCCTTGTGCACTTAATTTTTCATTAGGGAACGACCGTGTTTGGGTTATAAAACCTTGACCCATTTACGTCAGATTAAGTCTTATCACGCATGTTGTTCACGGTACTGTATCCTCACCAGACACTGCTTGTTATTCAACTTTCATTTTTGCCTAAAAACAGCAAAAAGGCAGAGAACAAAAGCGAGAGGGGGGAAAAAACCAAAACAAGCCGAACCACAAAATAAAAAACAGACGCATGAACTGAGCCGCTACAGATGTCGCCATCTAAATATATGTGGACTCAAAACACATGATGCCCTGCAATGTGGTGGAGGTTTGCTGGCTATCACCACCTGCTGGAGAAGTTAACCAGGATGACTCAGAATTTTCCAACTGTTACACCCATTTCTAACTGCCAAATAATTCACCAGCTGGCAGGAACGTGTCAGCAGCGGCGGTGTTGCTGGGAAGAAACCTCACATGAGGATGAAACCACTGCACATCCACAGGAACATGCACAGAGCACTGACCGAGCGGCTTCTGAGCGTCGCAGTCTGCACGTGTTATGATGCAGCCCAGATTCCAGGCATGTTTTTCCATATTTTCTTCCTGTCCTGTCAGGAGAAGCGGACAGCTCTGGCTTCAAGTGTTCATGTTTGAATTCATTTGAGCTCCTCAAGCCATTTAATGGTTTAATTACTGCCCATTTCCATATAGGGTTCATTCATGTGCTTTTTTTCTTGATTATTTGTGATTTCGCTGTATGACCCTCTACTGGCCTTTTAAACTTTTAACCCTGTGGCTGATTTTGGCTTAGAGTTACCTGACAGTGTGATCTGTAGCTGGCTACAGAGAAGCGAGGTGTCGTCAGAGTTGGATATAATGTTTTGCTTTATTGGCATAAATAGTCCCCATCTGTAAAGATGCACTTTTTAAGGCACAATTTTATGATCTTCGGCAAATTGTTTTAGGCGTGCAATTTTATGTGTAGTGCTATTACAAAGCAGATGTGGTGTTTTACTCTCTCATAATCACAAGATTACGCTTCTCCATTTTATTTCCGCATTGCATCACTTTGGGGAGATGTCCTAGGCAGCAAGTTGAAGGGAAATGAAATGAAAATTATTCCATTTTGCCTCCAAGAGTGAAAATGGTGCATTTCTTCCATAACATATAGTTAATAAAGCCTGGACTTCATTGTTGATCCATTTTCTGGGCTATGTTCCACTTTTAGAGCCTTTTCTTTAACACTACGTTGTGTACACCAGAGCTACAACAATCCAGACTTGGACCAATCACTGTACATTTTTGCCAATAAAAAGTTTCTCTTCTGCCCTTTAGGACCTATAAAAAGTCCTATAATTTAGGTTTCTGCAAGCTTTGATAGTCTACAGTTCCTAAGCTGTGGACACACAATAAAAGAGAGATTTCCTTCAAGTTAAACAAATAACTAAAAAGTTTCGACAGTGGAAACATCTCTCTTAAAAAACATGAGTTATTATAGAATTTCCCAGAGGAACCTACCCAAGGGATTAATAAAGTTCTATCTATCTATAAGACTAAGAAAACTGTTGGACAAATCTAACACTGTCAGTCTTTAAAAGCACTAATGTTTATTTTTTGATTCACCTCTACTGACATTGATTTCGACACCATAAAAAAAATGTTTGAAACAAAATTATCTTATCGTGTTTTTAACTTTGGATAAATCAGACCTTTAGATGTCTCTTTGACTCACCGGTCCTGCCTCTGGAAGCGGCTCCATAAGCTCCACCCCCTCCGCATAGACCTGAATAAGTGCCAGCAGGTCCCTGGACTGAACTGCCTCAAACAACTCGATCATTTTAGCTGCCGCAGACGTGCACGTCTTCCTCGCGTACTTGTGGTCCACATACTTGGCGTTGATGAACTCCTTCCTCACTGTCCTGTGGACAAAATGTCAAACAAAAAGTTAGAGAGTTGAGTTGAGAGATAAAGATTTGTTTATATATAAAACTTACATGTCACTGGAGGGAGTGGGCTTTGGTGATGGGGAGGGGAGGTTTCCCTCCATGATCTCATTGAAGCTACTGTTCCCTACATTCTTGGCCAGCTGTGGGAGAAAGAAAGGAAACATCAGCAACCAAAGAAAGACACATGATGTATCCCTGCAGCTTTACAGATTAAAATTGGCTCCATCCTGTCTTCACAATACTCTTTCATGATTCCTCATATTTCAGGTGAAAACAGTGACGGGTGTGCCTCGAAAATAAGATCAGTTCCCTCGACAGGCCGTTCGTCTGACTCACCAAGAGTTCTGAGGTTCCTAACTTGTCGAGCTCCATGGACTGGATGCGGGAAATGTGGACTCCCATCTCTCGGTGGATGCCAGAGCACTCGATGCAGGTGAGGATCCCCAGGTTGGTGGACAGCCACTTTGGGTCTACAGACAACAGTGTAATACAAGTTATTACGGCTACAGGAGGCTGATATATAAACAGGTGGTGATTTGACCTCCTACAGTAAGGATGTCAAACTCATTTTACATTGTGGGCCACATATACAGCCCGCTTTGATCTTAAGTTGGCCGAACCAAAGAAACTCGCCTTTCTTCCAGTCTAAATTTTAACTATGTATTTATTTCCTGAGACATTTTAATACAAAAAGAGCAATTTTAACAATAAATCTCAGTTTTTCTAAATGATAAAGAAATGCTGCTTTAAAAACAATGTTTTCACTGTCCACATACTGTAAAAACACCCAAACAAACAGAAACTTTTAGATGACTTTTATTTATTACTTAATTACTTCTGTATAGTATGAATAGCAATGAGGTAGGTCTTCAGCCATCAGTAAAAATTTTGTAAAATGTATGAAAATACAGTTTGATACGGAAGAGGATTAGGGCCACTGGAAAAAAAATCTGAGAAAAAAGTCAGAATTCTGACTTTTTTCTCAGAATTCAGGAAAAGAAGAAAAAAAAAAGACGTGCCCACTTTTTTTTCCCCCAGTGGCCCTAATCTTTTCCGTAGTTTGAAGTCCAAACTTTATGCGCTCATTCACATTTTCCAGTACCATCTAGTGGTTTGGATTAGAGTCTTTGCCGGGACAATTCTGGGCCCTGGGCCTTATGTTTGACAACCCTATCCGAAAGCATCGAGGGCTCAGCTGATAAACCTCCCCACATGCAGCAAATCTTACATGCAGCATGCAGTTTTATTTCCTTTTTAAGTTGCTGCTGCCCTGCAATCTGCTTTGCAACCCACCTCTGCTATAGATGCCTCTTTTCAAGCTCTTCCTGACTTCTTATATAACTGATGCCTGTTCTGTATTGCGTTATGCTTGCCGCACTAGTCACTGGCCGCAAGCACTGTGACTTTAAAACCGCCACAAAAGCATTTATAGTGATGCTTGAGGCGTGCTTGACTCTGATGACACAAAAGAAGAAGTTGAAATAGGAAGCAAAGCGATTGCTTAGGTTTTTCTCTTCCTCCACAGAATGTCTCATCTTTTCTAACTGATGCAACACTCTCTCCCTCTGTTTTCTGGAAATATCTGTGGTCCTGCATTAACACTGAAATGCATGTAAAGCCGGACCATTCGTAAGGGTAACAGCACTAAGCATAAACTGCCAGTTAGGCTTTGCATGTCCACATGTACCATATCCTCAAATCACTGCAACAGAAAACAACCATCTTGTGAATAAACTAGCCCTGATTCAGATGCTAAACCACAGCTTATTTTTCCACTATATTCACTGATTTTATTTATTAATGCACCACCACTGCAAAGCACAAAGGCGCACGCGCACAGAGATGTGGCAGATCCTCGAAACCTCCAGAGACCGAGCGACTTTGCTGACTGATGTTCTGATGCAATCCGGGGGAATTAAGGAAGCTTTAAACTGTGACCTCAGTGATGCTGATGCTGTGAGGCGAGGGGTGCTGCTCTGTCTGAAGCTGACAAGTTAACACCAGAGGAGGCTGGTGGAAACGATAGAGACAGCCCAAAAACCCGGTGAGTCATGCACGCAAACACAGACAGCAGGAAGGCACGTGCACACATTTACACAACACAATTAACAGATGCATTGTGAATTCATGGGACCTCTATAGCTGATTAATGCTATCTTACAGATGAATTTCCAGTCAGAGCATCGAATGAGCAGCAGAGGGAACAACGAGGTGACCTTTGAAAGTCATAAAAAGGTCCTTTAACCACTAAATTAATTTTATGTGTTGAGGAAAGTGAAGCACGGGCGTCACCTTCTCGGTCAGATAACAACAGGAATCAGATGCTTAAATCCACATCTGGAACATGTGTTATGCCAAAGCCATGTATATGAACGGATGCAGCAACAAGAGAGCAGACATGACAAATTACCTCCGCTCTCTGAGGACCGCAGGGGTCGACGAAGCGTGTGTGACTTATGTAACATCGTGATGTAATGATGTTGTTTCTCAAAGCCCAGAAATGTTTTTTTTTCTCCCCCAAGAGATAAAGTCCACCGCCCCAGTACTCTGCAAGCTGCTGTGTGTGTTTATACAGACAGAGTGGCGTGTGTGGATGCAAGCCTGTGTGTGCTGAGAGTCAGAGGGTCTGAGTGTCCACGGCACTCCTGAGTGCTGACTCTTTGCTTTCTAATGTGAGGGGGAGTATCGGGATAGAGCTGCGTCCTGAATGCTAACAACACCAGCATGCGCGCACACACACTGCAGTGTAGCTCGCTCAGCAACCATCTAACTGAAGGACACGGAGTTCAAGGCAGTGGTGACATTGTAAAGCTACCGAGACAGGAGAGCGGCTTTAAATAAAACACGGTCCACATTTAAATGGACTCACGCAGCCCCACAAACACACCTGCAGCTCCACAGTCGCAGCAGACTTCATTGCCCGGCATGCGCAGCACGTCTTCTATGATGGCTTTGGTGAGGTCCTCTAATCCGTCCTCCCCTCCGCTGCTCTGCTCGCCACGAAACGCCATGTTTAACGCCTCCTCCTTGCTGTTGGTCAGCACCGAGATCCAACTGCAAGAGGGAACATTGTTAGAGACATTACAAACAATAAAATAAAGTTTTACTTTATTGAGATAAAAACAGCTAGGGGTAAAGTTAAGGATAGCATCATTTTGTGATAAAATGTCAGGAAAGCGCCCATCACAGGTTCTTAAAGCCTTCGGTGACCTTTTATCTTGTCTAAATGCATCAAAATCACAAAAATACACAGAAAAGCAGCAACAGGGAAGCTAAAAGGAGGGATTATGTTGCATTTTTGCTTTACAAAGATGCTATGACACACAAATATTTGCCCATTCTTTGGTTTCTTTGAAAAGGTTAAAGAGGAACCAACGCACCCACGCAGGCCTGTGGCCATTACAGGAGGCGGGCGTACAAACACGACCTCCTGCAATTCACTACGCAAAACACAATCTGCACACACGCAGCCGATCGCAGCCCTTCCTCTGTCACTGCCACTCAATCCCCTCTGAGTGAGAGCAGACAGACAGTGGGCACACAAACCGATGCATTCGATTGTCTGTTTATCTCCATGTGTGGAAAAACAAGATATTTTAATCCACTAATGCGTAGGTGTGCAGATGCCAAGCCAAAAGTGTTTGCGTGTTTGCTTACAATATGCATTATAATATGCTGCCGGCCTAATTGAGGAAGAGCGTGATTACGTGAAGCGAGCGCCCTATGAAACACTAAATATTTGAAGGGAACTACAAAGAAGACGACGCCATCGCCGACACCACTCCAGTTGGAATTGCGTGACGGAAGGAGCAGAGCAGAGCGAGTGGCATCCCAAAGGAGTACAAGCAACACGAAGTCTTCAAGCAGCACTGAGCGAAGAGGCAAAGCCACAGCGAGGCTGGAAGAAAGTTTCCACCATCAGAGGAAGAACAGCCACAGCATCACAGAGTGGCAGATCGACAGTATTCAGACTCGGGTTTGTTTTCACTCCTCTGTGTTTATGAGTGATTCGGCTCCGGGGGAATCACATCTTATGTCCAACAACGTCATCACAACACTGCATTCAACTGTTTTTGTTTATCTGTAGGCAACTGATCTTATCCCAGCTCCTGTTTGTTGGGCAAGCTATTAAAAAGCCTGTAAACCATGAAAACAAAAATCACCAAAATATAATTTTTTAAAAATGGAGTTTTAATTGAACCCTGTGACAATTTTTTTTAAAAAAAGAATTAAATATTAAACAAATATCTGGCTTTTAAAAAAAATACTTTATTGCTTAAACGTGTATTATATTAACAGGGTTAATAGTTTCATTAAAAATCACATTAGAGCCGATACGTATGTTGACAATCGATTAATCCCAGTTTCTCAGTTCTATTCTTTCATTGTTACTTGTGTTTTATTTTATTATTTTAGTGTTGTGGCCTTTGTTTTAAGTTAAAGTGAGGTCGCTTTGAGCTTCGAGAAGTGAAGGCCTTTAAACACTGGTCGTGTAAAATCTGGGTGAATTTTTCATGCTTTAAAAATATTTTTCTGACTCATTCTTAAGTCAGCCGCTCACAATGACCGCGTACTTTCACTGGATGAATCTGTGATATTTATTCTTTCAGTAGACGCTCGGTCTTTCAGATTTTCACATGTGAATAAACAGATCTGACCAATCAGACCAGCGCATTTGGCAACGAGTGCACTTGTAGTTCAAAACACATACCAGTACTTTTCTAAACATATTTATCTACTTAAATCAAAATCTGATCCATAATCCGTCAAGCAAACAGGAAAACTCATGCATTCATCATCCTGTGACTTATTCTCACAAACTGACAAAGATAGTTTCACTTGAAATTTCTGGAAAATTGAGGCGGCCGGTTTCCACAACACGATGACAAATAAGCGACGTTACATGGTTACTGCAGACACCAAAAAACGACTGTTGCACAGTTTAACGTGCCTGCGGCTGCTTTACTCTGACCAACCAGCCTTAATTTACAAATGTAACTTTCTGTTCGTCCTCCCACATGGTAAAAGCAAAGCCGTGTCTTTGTGACATATTAATTATTCAAATTTCACATGAATGCAGACGGCATACTCTGCACTGCAGAACGTACAGGCTTTTATATAGTTCCCAAAAATTATTAATGCTTGTTTTTTAGCCACAATGACGACTAAATTTGTCCTCATGGAGTCTGACTATACAGACAACTCGCCAATTAACAATATGACTTCTTGTGTCATAAATACGATTCGACTTCAACAGAAACGGCAAAAGTGAACAACGCTAAGACACTTTTTTATATCACAACTCATTATTTTTCATGTGCGGTCACTATAACACGGCTGTAAAACTAAGGATCTTTTAAATAGGTAGCACAACCGTGGTTATTCCTGTGTATGTGTGTCTGCTCGTGCGTGAGGGTATGGGGAAGCAACAGTATGAAGTTACAGCGACCTGAATTACTCCAGACCACCAATCCCACTGCCATCCTCGCTGCCACAGAGTCGCAGCCTCACTGCTCTCTACAAAGTGAAAAACACTTCCTGTGTTCAAGAGTGACAATGAAGCGACACACCAGCGACTAACCGGCATCCCATTAATGAAAAACCTTTAGCTGATGGCTAAAGACACCTTTAGCGAGATCACACATAGAAGAATAAATGGGTGTGTAGACTGAGGCGAAGTGGTGTCAGACTGCTTCAAACAGCGATAACAAGCAGAACGAGGATCATGTGTCTGTCGTTAAACTGAAGTACTCACATGACAAACTCCTGCTCATCCTCGGCCTGGAAATGATACGTCCGGTTATCTGCAAACAATAAACGGTGGAGTTAAAAAATGCAAATGTCTACTTTTGCATTTATGATAGCCAGCATGCAGCAAACGATTCAAACGCTTATCTGTGTTCTTAATACACTGTTATACAGAGAAAACTGCATGTGGAGTTTCCACAGGTCCTTTTACAAGAGACAACTCTCATCATACTACAAGTGTTTGTCACCGAGCCATTCAGGCATGCGTTAAAGTGTGTGTGTGTGTGTGTGGGTGTGGAACTTACGAGAAATGAGATCAAAGCATTTCCGGTCCTCAGTACTTGGTTTCACCTGGCAGGTGAGCAGGTTGAGTTTGACTGGCTGCCTGTTGGACTGTAAGAACGAGCACAAAGATCACACACTGGACCACAGTGGAAATATTACACACAAGCACAACACCGTCCTCACATCAGACACATAAATATTTCGGTGCTTTGGGGATTTAAGTTCAGTCAAACATCTCAAAATGAGAAGCAGTCGACACGTGTATGCATGTAAGCTGGTGTTCCTCGGATGAACTGCAGTGACTGTGTGGATCACTTTTCATCGTTCAGTGACATCATCGTCGTATTACCCACAAAAACAGTAATATCTGGTGTCGCTACAGCTCACCTGGATGAGCTGGCGACCTGTCAGCCTCTCCTACCTCATTGAATAATTCACTGCCGTTATTAACTGGATGTCTTCAAATTCCCTTCATCTTAATCCCGGCAAAACTGAGGCTCTAATTTTCAGTCCTTACGATCCCCACCAGGAATTTTGCTATCAATATTATTCACCTGCATTTGAATTTTGAATCTAAGAATCATTACAAAAGTCAAACCTCTACTGCCACCCAATAATTTAGAACTTTTAGCAGTCGCCTTAATTTTCTCCCGTCCGATTCCCTCTTTCTCTTCAGCCAGTCTTTAACTGGTCCAGAACGCAGCAGCTAGGCTAAGCCTCCTGGCAGTAGCGTCTTAAGGTGGCACAAATTGCCTGGAAGTGCAAGTTCAAGAACACCCACCTGCCAGGTCACCACTGAAACGCCTACATCACCAAATTCAGCCTTAATGTATGCATGCTCTCTTAATCACAACGTATTCGTACCGGCATTGTCATGACACCAGTGATTATACATCATAGTCTGTTATTTTGGTCAAAGGTCTATTTGAACACTTGGGTTCACAAGAACTCGTGCAGGATGTTTCATAGATGCATCTATGGTTTCATTCAAACAGTTGGGTGTCCACGCCGCCCACCCGCTCGGCCCCTAAGCCTTCAGTCTGAGTGGTAACTAGCCACAGCTTACATATCACTCCTGTTCTTGCTTCCCTTCGCTGGCATCCAGTGAAACTCAGAATCCATTTAAAAAAGAAAACTATTGAGAACACATGAAACCCTACAGGGCCAAGCTTCAGCAGATGCAGCAGCCCTTAAACTGTTCCACACTTTTTAGGGCTGTAACTCCTAATGTTTGGAACAAACTTCCTCGGCCCATCAGGTCGGCCGAATCTCTGGTTTGTTTTAAACGAAGCTGCTGAAGAGTCATTGCTATAAGTTAGCGTCTCTGGAAGTGTGTATGCGGGAATGAATGCAAGGCCGTATGTTTGTGCATCTGTGTCCTGGAACGTGTAGTCTTATCTTTAATATGATGCTGTCGTCAAACTGTGAACCACTTAGTGCCATACAAATAAATGGATTATTCTCTGCATCATACGGTCAAATAAAGGTTAAACTTCATCACCCTTAGCTGTAGTGCTGATTAATTACAACAATCGTGAACACAGCTAAGCATCAGCATTTAACACTGTCATTATGAGCATGTTAGCATTCAGCTAATACAGCAAGCACAGCCTCACAGAGGCCTCAACAAGTGATCAAGGCTCCTCCTCAAGCTGAATTCAAAGTGTGCAAACATTTTCACACACAATCCACCCGATTGTTGACGCTGTACATGCAGAAATATGGCGGGTGAAAGTAAAAGTTTGGTTGAAGGGAAGAAACACTTTTAAAAAATTCATTTCAAGTCTATTTCCTGTCCACGTAGAGTGACCCAGATGTGTTTTTACAGGTGTAACAGTGATAACAGAAATGCACAGAAACCTCCTTTGATGTTTGGCAGTAGAGCCCACCTTGTTTCCAGATCCGATGTTCTGACAAACCATCCTACTTTGGCAAAACGTCCTACCTTAAGTAGTTTATGCACATTTCTGCTGTCACAGAGTCATTCCAGCACAAATTTAAGTAGGTATGATGGTTTGCCACTTAACTTTGCCCATCAGAGTAAGCTTGTAACTCATATTCATAAAGCCAGGATGGTTTGCCACTTCATTTTACCCATTAAAGTATGCTTATAGGTAACAGTCACAAAGGTAGGATGGTTTGGCACTTAATTTTACCCGCAGAGTATTTTTCTAGCTAATATTCATAAAGGTAGGACGCTTTGCCACTTAATTTCATGTTGTGCGCATGCGCAGAAACAACGACTAGGATGGTTTGTCAGGTAGTGTGGATTCCCAGAACACCGGACATTTGCGCATAAAAACAACAAAGTAGGAAATAAAATATGAGTAACATATGCACAATTTGTTTTGCTGACTTGGTGAATGAAAAACATTTCTGGGTTTCCCACTAACTGAGGGGTCTTCACATTGTTCATTTTGTCAGGAACAACAAAAAGAAATTATATAGAAAAGGAGAAAAAATGCTCACGTTTGAGTAGCTGGAGCCACCAGATGGTGGGTATATTTTCATTTTAAAAGGATTTGCATAATTCTCGTAGATAATTGTATCAACTCATGTTTTTATTATTCAACAAAGCTTCTGCGGTCCGAACTACAAGCTGAACTCAAGGTGCCCCCATTAAGACAGTGGACTGAGCTGGCTGGGCTGTGTACTGTAATAATTGGGTCCAGTTGGCACGTACATACTGAGCATTGTCTCCTGCCAGTGCCCGGGCAGAGGGGGGACGAGGGCACGTGCTAATGAAATGCTAACAGGCTGTTATGAGCCTTGGAGTTGGTGTTAGCCTGCTGGCAAGATGCCACATCCAACTAAAGCCACCTAAAGTTCATCTGCACTGAGGCCTGAAGAAAAGGGAAAAACCTGAAGAAAAGGGAAAAACCTGAAGCGGTGGTAAACTGCTCTCGGACAGAGAAAAACGATTACAAGCTCAGTATGATAACCGCTCAGTGGGCTAAATTAGAAACTGAGGTCAAAGATTCAGTTCCTCCATCACAAAATGCAATAAGAGAAAACATTTTCCTCTCACATCACAGGCGACCACTTCCTCAGAGCGTCTTTGCAGCAGCAGCGTGAAAGTTCAAAACAACAAAGCTCACGTTCACGTCAGTCGCGATCATCCTGATCCTCCCCGCTGTGTTACAGCTGGAGCAACTGCTGTGTCTGCTGGGAAATAAGCCGCCAGAGTGCCAACTCCACCAAGCTCATCCCACACGCCCGACTCGCTGCCAATCCTCACCGGTTAGATGTAAATAAGGCTAAATTCAAACATTTGCATGTATGCTTAAAGCCGTCAGGGATGATTTATCTGATTTAATCCACAGGCTGTTACTACACAGACATGCTTGCGGATTTGTAAGGCTGTGCTAACACCGGCACGTTCACAAAGACAATATGCTAGTGTTTAGCAGATATGGTGTTGACCATTAGCCATCATCTGCTACTTAGCTCTAAACACAAAGTACAGCTGAGGCTGAAGGGAGCGCCATTAGTTTATTTGTTGAGGTATTTCACTCTGACCGCAGCGATGACTGACCCAGAGTCCCCGGAGTCAAGTTGTTAGCATAACGACAAATAAAACACATCTAAGGTTTCCTGGTGATGTAAACACTTTATGAGAGAATAACATCTGCTCTGTTCGGTATTACAGCTACAAACAACAGAATATATGTATAAACTCTGCTTCTCACCCCCGTGTGTGGTTTGTGGTAAGTGTGTCTTCCTCAAGCTCAATTCTGGAAGTTTGGGGGTTTCTGCAGCATCTAAGCAGTCCTACTTTTAATCTGCATGCACAAACCACACAGTTAACTTGCAAATTGGAACCAGTCCCAATCAGTGGGTTGATATAATCTGCCAGTACAAAGATGCATTTGTGTTATTGGCTATTTTCTTTCTGCTGTGCACAGTTAGGGAAGGTACTGTCTGTCCGGCAAAGAAGCTCTGATTTCCTACCAGCAGACGAGCGTCACAACTAACAGCTTGTCGCCAACTAGTTTGTGAAAACTGGACAATAAAAACAAAAACGTAGGAACCTTATCATGTATACGTTCGACGTTTTATCTCTGCACTACAGCTGTTATAGTATTTGTATTTTGTTTCTATTTTTACTAAAAACCAGTATAGTTTACATGTCAGTGTAAGAGCAATATTGCTTCCTTCTGTGCTATACTGAGGGGGGTCTGAGTCTAAGAATTTCACTGTCAGTAGTGATGTGCCATTGTTACCTCTCTTACAAAAAAAATCCCACAAAATCAAAATCTACAGTTCTCAGGGGCTCACCAAAGCACCAAAACAGAAGTCTGAACTGCTGTGAGATACTGATGGTTCGCTGTGCTGTACAGTGGAACAAGAGATTCATATCATGGATGCGCAGCCAACAAATCTGCAGCAAGATTGTGAAGCTGCAACGTCAATATGAACCAAACTCTCTGAGGAATGTTTCCAGCGCCTTGTTGAATCTATGCCATGAAAATTCTGAAGGAAAAAACTGAACTAAACTGAATTGAATACAGGTATGGGGATATTGGTAAAGACATATATCCAGTACCTGCTGTGCTCTATAACAAAAGGCAAGGCTGAAAGAATTTAATTAAAAATAATCAAAGTGCATATATTAAAATGAGCCACAGCTGGTAGCTCTGCAGATTTGATTTGGCAGATTTCTGTGCAGGATGCCCTTCTCGACACCCCAACCTTCCCCCAAAGGATTAATAAAACAACATTACAATCGTTGTCTCGCGCCGACTTGTCAAAGCTGTCTGAATTAATAAATCACATAGAAATGATACTAATTGCTAAATCTATTCTCCTGGATGCATTTAAATAATATTAAAAGTCAAGTTAATGTTGAAGCTCAGTTTATTTGTTGGTTATGTTATCAGGTTGTTTGTTTGTTTTGGAGGGGGGGGGTCACTTTAATCTGAATTGTATTTATAAGCTGTAAGAGGAATTTCAATCAGAAAGTCTTGCTTTTAATATTGACAAGGTTCAAATGTTTTTGATGACCAAACTGATGTAAGTAAGATTCAAGAAAAAAACCTTTAGGAGCTTTCAGCAAACACTAAAAGCACCAAAAACATAATAAATTCCTGAACAATGCATCGTTTCCTGTTAACAGATGGACTGTCCGAGCGTGATGAGACACCTGCCACTGCTCTGCCACAATTAGCTAAGAGCTACTGATTGCGCTAAGCCCCCCGACAGTCCAGCTGGTCCCGTGGGAGTTTCGAGGCTCTGTAGGTTACACCTCAGTGGCCGGCGGTTGACAGAATTAACGCAGATATACGAGCCCCGCGTTAGATTCCCGAGGTCCGGAGCGGGAAAGAAAACATCACACTGAAACGTGCCTGCTGCACAAGAGCGGCAGCGGTGGCGGTACCCTCACACTCGCTCTGAGATGAGTCACCGAGGCGCAGCAGACAGCAAGGGGGGGTAAGAGGGTGAGGCAAGGTTGCCATGACAACCCATTTATGTCAATTCCACTGTGCCAGCCTCCAGATTGTGACGAGAGAGAGAGAGAAAAAACCACAACCTCCCCACATGATGTTCTCCTTTTGATCCGCACAGTCAGTGCTGAGGGTCACGGGGGTCATATGAGCAGCTGTGCCTGTGTGTGTGTGTGTGTGTGTGTGTGTGTGTGTGTGTGTGTGTGTGTGTGTGTGTACTCACTGTGGCATGAGAGATGGTGAGGATGCCCCCCTTCACTGAGCACTGCCTCCTCTGCCACACCTTCCTCAGCCTGTGAGAGGCGAAGGGGCGGGGTCAATCATTAGAGATATTTCCTGCCTGCTTTACATTTTAATGCGTCGTGAACGCACACTACAGCGTTTTTTTAATTATTCGCTGTGTTAGCAGCTTACCCATCACTCTTCTTCAGCAGGTAGCCTTTCTTCTCACTCCCAAACTCCTTGTTTCCCTGCAGCTGGTGCATGCTGTAGCCACCCTGCTTGCTCTGCGAGTCCTGCGCAAACCCACACGATAACACAAAATAAACACTTTGTGTGAACAGAACAGAGAGGCTTAATAAAGACATGCAACACATAGACAACACACACACAAAAAGGATTCTCTGACATCAAAGTGCTTCTGAAAAACAAACCAAGAGTGAAGACTTAAAAATAAAAGGAGGTAAAAGGCATGCTCTGCAACATCTCTACAGGGATAAAGCACTCTACTGTCAAGCTGAAGAACACAGACGCCAGCATGCTCAACATGCACCAACACTTACTCTTCTAGACTTGATTCCAGACAAGCAGAAGGCAGAGAGGAGGGGGAGATAGAGGGGAGAGGCGTGAAAGATCCGGCTCAGGTGCGAGAAAGTGTGCTACCTGCTCGTGTGTTAACCAAACCTACAATCCTCTGTGCTTATTGTCTAAAAGTGGTGCTACAGGCAGAATAAGTGAAATGTGAAAAACTGTATATATTGTTTCATGCAGACAGGCACACCGAGAGTGTGAACGTGTGAACCGAGAGGGTGTGAGCTAACGCACAGCCGAAGCAGCCTGTGCTGATAAGTAAAACGAGCCGGCAGTGCTGGCATACATGCCAACCCTCCCGATTTTTCCGGGAGAATCACAAATTTCAGTGCCCCTCCCGAAAATCTCCCGGAGCCACCATTCTCCTGAATTTCTCCCGATTTTCTACCCGGACAACAAAATTTAAAAACCATATTGCAAAATTCATAGCGCGGCCCAGCCAATTCCAGTTTCCAACAATGGCGGCAGCTACTTAGTTTTAATGTTACTCTTATTTCTCTTTCTGGGTCGCAAAAAAACTTTTAACATGTTTTCAGGTGAGACTGTAGCTGTGTAAACTTCAAATATCTGAGCCGGCGAGAACATCAAACTCCTGACACATCATTTTCAAACCCCCGCAGTCTTTCGCTACTCGGGTTAAACGTGATATATAAGTCACTTTGATAACTTAAAAACGTTATTGTTTGGCTTTTTCAGTGTTTTATTTGTTCGTGAGTAAATCGGTTTGGCTGAGATTAAAGTTATTCGATTAGATTGGATTAATTTAACTTTATTAATCCCTCGGGAGGGTTCCTCCGGGGTTTTCACACAGCCTCTGAATTTGGACACCCCCGCTGTTTCCGGCCAGCCAATAATAACGGTGACATTTAACGTATTTTATCTGATAAATGAACACTGTAAAATGTATTTATCACCCCCCCAACAGCCCTTTTCAATATCTCCCTAATTCTGAGGTCTCAAGGTTGGCAAGTATGAGTGCTGGAAAGTGTGTGAGAGTCGGGCAGCGAGTGGCTCTCCACTGAGCAGCCAGTGAGGCACAACGCTGGTCACCAGCAAAGCCTACCACACACTGGCTACCAGCATGGTACAGCACTGGGCACTCGCTCTGTGCTGCTGGAGACAAGCTCCAAAAGTTGGTGGTGGCCAGAGTGAGAGGACATAAAAAAAAGGAGGTTTCAGAATGACTGGGATGACTGAGTCAGGCCTGTTTTCAGCCCAGTACAGCTGAGTTTGTGCTGGGCTGGCAAGTTGTGGGTTTAAATTTGGCTTTGTGTGGTAGGGTGTGACCTGCTTACCTCCTTCTGGTCCAACTGGAGGGAGGACTTGATCAGATCTCGCAGGGCAGTCAGCTGCTTCTTCTCCTCATCCTGAGTTTGTTTGATCTGCAGATAGTGAAGCAAAGATATAAGAGGAAAGCAAAGAGGGCTAATAATGCACTTTTACAGAACTTTAGTTTCCCTTCTTTATTATTTATGCAATGTTCATTTAACCAGGAAAGTGTGACTCTTGAGATTAAAAATCTCTTTTACAAGAGTGTCCTGGCCAAGAAAGACAGCAGTATAATTAGCTGATAAAAATAAAAAACAAAAAGTATGTATAAACTTTAAAGGCAATAAATGAAACATCAATAAAAGACAGTGTTTTATACCAGAAACAAGGGCAGTAAAATTCAAGCAAAAAATCTACAGCCCAAATGATTCAATCACTTAAATTGCAGAGTTTACTTTTGATTTGTGAAGATACACTTAGGCGCAGTGAATGTACCAAACTATTAACTGCACTGCTCTCACGTCAGCACAATCAAACATCGTACTAAGGAGCTTAAAGACTGAATGATGTCTGCTCCAAACGTGGCCCAAGTCAGGAAAATTTCAGGGCTTGAAAACAACAGTTTACAGGTGTTGAGAAAAAAGTTATAGTGAATGGACTGGTTCTGTCATAGCTCCACTTTCTTCTTTACTTAAGCACTCAAAGCACTTTATACTATCTGTCTCGTTCACCCATCCATATATCCATCTTACATTTACACTCCGCTGAACGCATTAGGAGGATCTCGGGGTTCACTGTCTTGCCCGAGGATACTTTGGTTTACAGACTGATGTGGTCAGGGATTGGCAGATTGGTAGACTAGTAGATGACCAGCCTATACCTCCTGAGCCCAACAAGTTATGTGAGGTCTAGTATTTTCCTGAATCATGACAGTGGGTGCAGGATGGCCCAACTTTTCTTGCTTTAAAAAGTGCAAGAGCATGATATTCTGTGAAAACTGCTGCTTCAGGAGAAAGCACAGCAGTGCTGTAAATAAGAAGTGGTGGTCAGCATTTGGGGAAGGATTATCCTCGCCTGTGTCAGAAAGCTACATTTGCTTTATATATATATAGATATGTAATGTGTAATTAAAGTGAAGTGAAAATAATTTGGTTTGCTCATTGTAAAGATACTTCTTAGTTTTGTCCAGGAAAGCAGGTGACAGATTCTTGGGATTGCTCAGAAGTTTTTTTCTATGAGAAATGAAACCCTATAATGAGCAGGAGATGAAACCAGAGCGAAGAGGAGTTTTACATTGTAGAGATCAGCTGCCAGCTTCTCGATGTACTGCTTCAGCTTATCTGCTGTCTTCAAGCCATCTTGGAAGAAACTGGGGGGGGGAACAGAGATAAGACGTGAACTTCACTGGCATTAAAAGTCATCCAGATGCGTGACATGTGATCAAATGTCATGTGTTACAGTGAGCTTGGTTTGGCCTTTACGAAGGTCACAGAAAGAAAGAGAGAGGGATAGGACGATGGAGGCAGTTTAATGTATAGCCGGGCTCGTTCTGGCACAGGAGTGCTGGGCAGATTTGCAGAGGTGCTTAGCACATCCTGAAATCCATTACAGATGTGTCAGCGGTACACACCTCGATGCAGCTCCACGGCCGCAAATCACCACTAATGACCTCCATCTCCATCGCCATCCCTCTCTCTCCGTCTATGCTTTTTTCTTCTCGAAACATACATCTCCCTTCCTCTTTTCATTATTTTCGCTGCCACCTCTTTCCCTCTGCTTGTTTTCTTTCAGCCTCTGCACCGACGAGCCCACATCTCTCCTCCCACTCCAGCGTGCTCTCCGTGTCAAGTACTGTTGACTTTGCAGAGTGTCAGAATGCACAGTTTAAGTGTTTATACTGCAGTTTTAGAAAAGGATTCACCTCCCTTGACTTGACCTCCCCTTGGCACATTTTGCTGCGCTGCATAGTTAGTGATGGATTCATTTTACTTGCCGTTTTTTGGGTAATTTAATAGCTGACACCCATTACGACTACAGTTTCTGACAACCTTTTATTTGCCACTTTTAGTGCAGAATTGAGGGAAACATTAATCTAACACTGCAGTAGTGTTAGATTGTAACTTTCTTAATTTTAGAAGTCGAATTAAAGCTGAAGTGAACACAAAATTGCCTCCTGCACTTTCCTCAGCTTGCCATCCGGCGTCCTTATGCCTCTAATCCATCACCACTGCAGTTTTTTTTCTCCATCAAGGCCCAGGTTGGACAGATTAAAGGGGAAGTGTATTGTTTTCTCCCGGTATTATGACAGGATCTAGAACGCTGAGAGATGATCTGTCATTCTGTCACGGGCCACGGTTCTGGCGTGGAGAGCACCCAATTTATTTACCCGCCAAACCCTGGAGCTGTCAGAACGCATCTTTGTGAGGACCTGTGCATATTTATGAGAGCTATATATGTGTTCCTGTGCACCCTGCAGAGCTGTGATTCATGCAGGAGCAAGAAAATTGACATCAAGAGCTGCACGGCAAGACAGAGAGTGAGGCAGCAACCTACTTCTTTTGAAAGAGTTTCGTTGGTGGGTGTGATGGACATGCCAGGAGAGCGTTACAGGGGATTAAGGTGGTACTTACTTGCACTGTGCGTGGTAATACTTAATTAGATTCTGAAGGAGGTCCACTCCTTTCTTGGTCTTGATCTCGTTTACTTTGATCAGGTACTGCAAGAAGGGGAGAAGCAGAGTTCAGCCATGAGTTAAAATGTAGGGTACGTTTAAAGGATTTCTGGGTTTAATGAGGTATAACATGCCAGCACTGTTACACAGACAGTAAAAGCTTCTGCTTTTGCCTTAGATACTTATAACATGAGCACTTTGCATTATGATAATCTCATCCGAGTGCACATATGTTCATGAGACCTTTGATGTGCGAGCCAAGCCTGCCTCAACACTGTGGGAGCCGAGACCAGACAAACACTGTGAAATTCCCTTGTAGAGCAGGAGAATACCATCCGTCTGCCTTGATCTAAATAAAGTTTCAAAGGGTTGATGGGAAATATTTAACATTAGCATTATTAAAAAAAAAAAAAAAAAAAGGAACAGCCTCTAGAGAAAGTGCTTTGTAGGCTGTGTGCTCAGTCTGGGTGCCTTCAGATGACGCTCCGACCAAACAAATAAAAGAGGATCTTAATCTGAAACTAATCCTTCAGTGTGCCAATCCACAGAGATTTACAAAGAGTCACAGCTAAAGACCACTTTTAGTTCTACGGGAAATTTTACTCTATTACACAATAGCGCTCTGAAGCCTGTGACGCCAACATACAGTTTCAATTTGCTCCTAGTATTGTGTTCGGATGCTTGGGTGCATTAGCACACGCCTGAGCGCGTGTGGATGCGTGCATATGCGTGTGCATGCACGCACGCACGCATGTGCCGCCCCCCAACCCCCGCTTTGTCTGCCTCACACAGCCTGTTGGACGGGAGATTATCCACATTTTGTGCCAGGCTTGTACAGGTTCAGTGTTTCGCAGCGAGCTGCCGAATGTGCGAGTTTGGACTCTTTTGTGTGAATGAGCAGCGACGTTCGCACTGCTGCCGCGTCTGGGCAGAGCAGAGCACAGCCTGCTGAGCCCGGCCTTTCCGCACTCGTCCACCGGCAACGTGGGATGAAAAGGGTGAGAGAGTGACAGCGTCCTGTAATCTGGTGATTGAGTAACGGCGAGAGAGCGAGCGCACGAGCGAGTGTGACAGAAATGAGGTTAAGTGGGATGAACAGATTGTACCACTGACTGCAGCAAACGCCCTGCACACAACAGCAGCACCACTGATATCTCCAGCCTCTGTGGCTGTTGATTAAGAGATTTTTGATCCGAATGATTACTGTAGCTCAACATAGACAACATTTTTTTAAATTACAGAACAGCATCATCTAACTCCCATCAGTAGAATTTAAGTCTAATCTATGTATTATTTTAGCTGCAAATCCGAACTTTTATAACACCGATGCATGTTATAACTCAGAGACACCAGCCATTGTATACATTAGGTAACGTCCCTGAACGCAGCTCATCTCATCTTACAGCAAATCTGCACGACCATGTGAAACGATGATAAAGACATAAACATCCACGGCCCTGCCAGCTCATGCTCATACATTATCTGAAGTGGTTTGACATCTCTGAATATAAATATTAATGAGTCCACAGGCACATCAGCGCCTGGTGGGTCATGGAGTTTTTAAAACTCAGTGTTCAGCCTCTACACTGAGCTATATTTGTCCGGAATACACAGAACCAAGCAGTTATGTTCTCATTATAGTTCGTTAACATGTTCTTTTTTTAAGATAAATATATTCTTGAAACCACAAAGTCATCAAACTGGCGTTTTCAGTGAGGCCGGTTTAAAAAAACAAAAACAAAAAACACAAGTGGTCAAAACCACAAAGATGTTTTTATCCTGCTCAGAGGACTCCTGTCGGTCTGGGAGGACAAAGCAAATCAGCACGGATGTGCAACGCTCTCAAGAATTTTAAAATCAAATCTGGGGCCGAGGAAGCCAGAGAAAGAGGAAGTCGGAGCTAATGTAATGTAGGAGCTACAACTCGTCTTTGGCATTCAGCATCAGCTGGAGGCGGACTGCTAAATTGGATAATGTGATGGTCTTCTGGAATCATGCGAAGATAAATCTCCCTCAAGTGCCGGTTCAAACATTTCTGCAGCAGCGTATGAAACACAACGTGAAAGGAGGCGCCGTGTTGAGCCTGCAGATGATCATCATAAACAATATGAAGCTTCTCTGTAGGCTGAAATGAATGAAAGGCTTCTCCTCTTTCTTACGGTGCTTTAGAGTGATTAGCTGTAAAACCACTTTCCTGTTTGTTGTTTTAAATACTTGATATTTTAAAAGGATAAAAAGGGAAAAAAGGGGGAAAAACATCATTTATATATAAAAACAAACATGCCATCCGAAGGGGGGCGGGATAGGATAGGAGTACATTATATGTATCCAAATACATCCACATGTTTTTACATGCCACCTTACAAGAAAGAAAAAGGATATTTATAATTTCCAGCCATATCTCAATAGCTCAAACGCTTCCTCCTTAATTTTGGGGACATTCTTCCTGTAAACTTAACTTTCTGTATCATATTTTTCTATTTAATTAATTCAGGAGGTTTTAATGTTTTTCCATCCTTCTGCTTCAGTGCCATCCTTCTAATAAATACATCTCATCTTGATTTTGGGAGATTTGACAGTGCGCAACAAATTTAAATGATCAAAACGGGAAAACACAAATATTTTATAAATATGCCAAAAGTTTATTTATAACTAAAAATTATGTTGTTAAATATTCACATTTTTAGACCCAAATTTGAGCCGGACTTCTCTACAAGTCAGTAATTAATCAAGCAACAACGTTCAACCACTAAAACCACTTTTATCTTCAGGAGTAACTCGAATCAATAACCAAAGAATTAAAGGCAGCATTTCATGTGTTTGGCTGACAATCTGAACTGTAGCTGTAATTATTTATCTTACAAGCTGTTTTACTTCTGCAAAATATTCTTGAACACAATTCGAGCACTAATTATTTTCCATTCATTTCCATTTTGGATTTACTTTTTTCACTCGTCCACATCATTAAATATTTTCTAGTTACTAAAATCTGCAAATCTGATGTTTTAAGAATTTGACTTTTTCACATTTTTTACTCATGTTTTCCTTTTGTAGCAGCATTTGCAGATCGAGCTGTCTGCAGCTCTTAACAGTGGCTGCTCAGCAGGAAACGGTTGTGACTAGCTGATAAACATAGTGTGAAGTCAGAAGAGACTAAAAGCAGAACAAAAAGAAATAAGTACATAAATTGACCTTTGTATTTAAGTGGCCATAAACAACTTCAAATTCACGATAATGAAGCTCTTTAAATGCTAAACGTGTGAGTACTACGCTTAAAGAGTGAGGGAATCTCACATAGACACTTATAGCTAAAGATTAGGAGCTCCATAGTTTCCTCAAAGTCCCAGAATGTATTTATTTTAAAACTTGTGTGCCCAATATAATTTATTATGAATTCAAATGAGTCTCAAACAACTTCAGATGCACAAAGCCGCTGCATAATAATGACAGCTCAGCTAATCAAGGTTTATTTTTACCTTGGCTTGTCTTACAGAAGTTCTGCTGCATGCAAACATCATTTGCTTTGCAAAGGCGTAAATGATTCCCGCTGATAACAATCCCATGTCTTTCTGTAAGAGCAGCACGATTTTAATTGTAAGACATTCAGAGGCGAAAATAAACTTGATTAGCTGAGCTCACTCCATTAAGCCCTAAGTATGTGCATCAGGGACACAAGATTAAAAAAAATACCATCTTAATAAACCTTAAGTGGACCTATAAAAGTTGAGATTCAAATAAAGTTTCTATGATACCAGAAAAAAAATGCAAGTAAGGGTCAAGTGAAAGTGAGCTAAAATGCACACTAGCATCTCCAAACACTGAACAGAGCAGCCAAGCGGATTAGCAGCTGGTATTACAACATTAAAAGCCGTTACTAGGAGAGCTAAAACTATTATGAGATAAGGGCTTTGGTTTTAGAGCCACAAACCTATAACAGCGCTAACATAACATATGCTGGCATCCTGACAGAGTTGGTGAGAATACCTGTCAGAAGGTTAGCATATTAGCATCTACAGTAGTGCAAAAAAAGTACACCTTCTTCACTTTTACATAACAGGACATAATGAAATATAATTTGGTACCTTACCAGATTACCAAAATAATTAAAAAAAAAAAAAACCCTCAGATGATCAACAACATGACAGATTACACTATTTCATTATTTATTCAACAAAAACTCAAAGTCCAGAAGCAGTGAAAAACTAAGTACACCCTGTGACTAAACATCTTGTAGAACCACGTTTAGCAGCAATAACTGGAAGTAATCATTTTCTGTATGGCTTTATCGGTCTCTCACATCATTTTGAAGAAGTTAATGGCCGACAGCAAGGTGTTCAGGTCTTGTGGATGCAAAATCCCAATCGACACTTCTCCACCACCGGGTTTAACAGTTGGTATGAGGCAGTTGTGCTGATATGCTGTGCATTAGAGATTTGAGAGGTAGGTAATACTTTCAAACAAGCTATACTTGTTATGTCTTTTTCTAAATGTACTCTCATGAACTTTAACTTTTAACATGCTAACTGAGGCCTGTAGAGTCGAGATGTGGCTAATCCTTCTAAGCATGGCAACACTACAAGAGCTTAAATGGTTTCCACTTGTAAATACTCTTTCTCACTGTACAGTGACGGACTTCAAATTGTTTGGTAATGATTTTAAAACCCTTCCCAGATTGATGGGCAGCAGCAATCTTTGCAGGTATCAGTCCTCCTCTGCAGGGTGTGAACACATCTTAATGCTTCAGACCATCAAACTGCCAAAATCTCACTTTTATGGAGGTGCTCTACTTGCTGATAATCAGCCAATCAAGTGCATTTGAATTGGAAGCTCCTGGCAGCTACTCATCCTTTTAATTCCTGTAGATGTAATCAGAGTGTTTTTTACACACTACTTCTAGATTTTTTCCTAATTTTTCTAAATTAAAACAGTGGAATATATCAAGTGTTGCTATTCATCTGACGTTTTATTTATCTAATTTTAAAACCTGCCAGGGACCAGATTGTTTTAATTATGTCCTGATACATAAAACCTAAGAACTGATAGAGGGTGTACTTTCCTTTTCTAATGTGAAGCTGAGCTGTTAGCGATTAGCTCAGAGATTCTTAATATTCTCATGTTGGCTCATGTTTAGCTTTAGAAGTCGTTGGAAAACATCAGCGGTAATCAAGTATGACTTGATCAGCCATTCAGTACGTGCTCTGTAACAGAGTAAGGAGAAGTTGGAAGACAGGTGGAAAATGTGGCCAAGGAAATACTTGAGAACCACAGTGAGAAGGGGGCAGATCAGCATGGCAGGGCACAAAAGAAGTGCAGCGAGTTTTGTAGTGAATAATTCACACAGCCAACAGCAGTGCAGCAGCCATTGGTCCATTATGTAAAAAATCCTACCAGGATAAAACAGTGAACGAGGCGTAGGCGTCACCACCCACCACTAGAGACGTTTTTGGCAGAGCAGAGTGAGCTCTAACAGTTTGTTCTGATTCTCATGGGCGCATAAGGAGCTCGCAATTGTTTTACACTTAATTCTCGCTGTCAGATTTCTTTAAGTTTGCTCCTTGTGCGCTAATATCAAACAGAGTTACAACATGTTTAACAGCAAACACGTTCACGGCACCAGATGAACGTTTGATTGTTTAGTAAGAGCTCAAATATCCAACTTATGTCATCGACTCTTTTTCTTCTTAATCTTATCCTCTGACATGCAATCACTGCAACAACCAGTTCAGCTCCAGTGCTGACAAACAAAGACTGAAAATACACACCTTTCTCTTGCATTACTGTAGCAGAGCTGTATGTTGAAACCCTACACGTGGTGCTGCACATTACAGTTTTGACAAATCACTAATTTAACCAAAAGAAATGACTAATTCATATTTTGCTAAACTACAACATTAATGAGAAGAAACTCGTGGATCCTCACTGTCATGTATTCTTGAGCCACCCCTCATTTCTTTATATATTTACAGGAAAATGGGAAATAGGTGGAGAAATTTTGTGAATATATACATAGACATATAGTATAAAAGGCAAAAAGAGAGTTTGTCATTATTTGGACGACCACCTTTGTTTTTCAACACAGTCTGAACTCTCTTAGGCCGGTCCATGACATAGGCTACGTTGCAGGCGAAAGCGCATCAAATCCGACTTTTTTGACCCTATGCGACCCATATCCGATCATGGTATGACAGTGTGAATGGCACAAATCCGATATTTTCAAATCCAACCTTCGTATGTGGTACTGAATCTGATACATATCTGATGTTTTAGAAAGCGACTGCTGTTTGAACGGTCAAGTCGCATTAAATCTGTCTTTTACATCACTGACACAAGACAGACGCCAATTATCAGCGCCGGAGAAGACATCGTGAACGCTTCCTGGCCATCC